GCAGGGAGTCCCCCTGCACCCTTGCTCCGGCCGCCCTGCAGGGTTTTTTTTCCTGCTTTGCCGTTCCGCGCCGCAGGTTTTTTTTTTTTTTTTTTGGCTTTGCCGTTCTGGCTCCCTTGATAGAATGTTGGAAGTCCCTTTATACGCTTCATAGGTTTTCACCTCAGCCCTTTGTTGCTCCTCTAGAAATACCAAGCGCACAGCCGAAGTGTGGATGGATGAGTTCAAACAATACTACTATGCTGCCCGGCCTGCAGCACAAGGGAGACCTTACGGAGAGTAAGTGGTGATTCTGGTGGCCAGTTGAAGCGCAAAGAGGTCTGTGAAGTGAGCCTGATGCAATGAAAAGTTCAAGATGATGATACAGGGGCATTGTATGCAGCTGTGGAGATGTCGCCATGTAGTTTCTGTGGTAACAGATAATTAAGTGCTAATAATAGGCAGATGCTACATGTAAGGTGATACAGTCCCAGCTCCCAAGCATATAACCAGTTTGTTTAGAAGGGCTGTCAATTAATTGCAGTTAACTCACGCAATTAACTAAAATAAAAAATAATCACAATTAAAAAAATTAATCGCGATTAATTACAGTTTTAATAACACTGTTAATCAGTAGAATACCAATTTAAATGTATTAAATATTTTTGGATGTTTTTCTACATTTTAAAATATATTGATTACAATTACAACACAGAATACAAAGTGTACAGTACTCACTTTATATTATTTTTATTACAAATATTTGCACTGTAAACAAAAGATATTGTATTTTTCAATTAACCTCATACAAGTACTGTAGTACAATCTCTTTATCGTGAAAGTGCAATTTACAAATGTAGATTTTTTTTTTTGTTACAATACTGCACTCAAAAACAAAACAATGTAAAATTTTAGAGCCTACAAGTCCCCGCAGTCCTACTTCTTGTTCAGCCAATCACTAAAAGAAACAAATTTGTTTATATTTACAGGAGATAATGCTGCCCACTTCTTATTTACAATGTCACCTGAAAGTGAAAACAGGCATTCGCATGGCACTTTTGTAGCCAGCATTGCAAGGTATTTACGTGCCAGATATGCTAACCATTCATATGCGCCTTCATCCTTCGGCCACTATTCCAGAGGGCGTGATTCCATGCTGATGATGCTTGTTTAAAAAATAATGTGTTAATTACGTAGTGACTGAACTCCTTGGGGAAAATTGTATGTCTCTTATTCTGTTTTACCCGCATTCTGCCATATATTTCATGTTATAGCAGTCTCGGATGATGACCCAGCACATGTTCGTTTTAGGAACATTTTCACTGCAGATTTGACAAAATGCAAAGAAGGTACCAATGTGAGATTTCTAAAGATAGCTACAGCACTGGAACCAAGGTTTAAGAATCTGAAGTGCCTTCCAAAATCTGATCGGGACGGGGTGCGGAGCGTGTTTTCAAAAGTCTTGAAAGAACAACACTCTGATGTGGAAACTACAGAACCCGAACCACCAAAAAGAAAATCAACCTTCTGCTGGTGGCATCTGACTCAGATGATGAAAATGAACATGCATCAGTCCGCACTGCTTTGGATCATTATCAAGCAGAACCTGTCATCACCATGGGTGCATGTCCTCTGGAATGGTGGCTGAAGCATGAAGGGACATATGAATCTTTTGCGCATCTGGCACATAAATATCTTGTGACACCGGTTACGACAGTGCCATGCAAATGCCTGTTCTCACTTTCAGGTGACATTGTAAACAAGAAGAGGGCAGCATTATCTCCTGCAAATGTAAACAAACTTATTTGAGCAATTGGCTGAACAAGAAGTAGGACTGATTGGACTTGTAGGCTCTAAAGTTTTACATTGTTTTGTTTTTGAATGCAGGTTTTTTGTACATAATTCTACATCTGTAAGTTCAACTTTCACGATACAGAGACTGCACTACAGTACTTGTATTTTTCAATTCACCTAATACTATTTCTTTTGTTTTTTTACAGTGCAAATATTTGTAATAAAAAATCAATATAAACTGAGCACTGCACACTTTGTATTCTGTGTTGTAATTGTAATCAATATATTTGAAAATGTAGAAAACATCCAAAAATATTTAAATAAATGGTATTCTATTATTGTTTAACAGTGCGCGATTCATTTTTTTAATCGCTTGACAGCCCTATTTAGAAGCTGTTAGGTGATGCCAAGGAGAGGACTGAATTCTTGCTCGGGAATTCCTTCCCCCACCCCCCGAGCCAGATTCCTGCTCTTGACTTCAAGTAGCTCTAGTCCTAGAGATGGGCTTTAACATTATAGTTTAGAAGTGAAACCAGCAGGCAAGAAAAATAATCAGCATGTTCTGGACCCCGTCTTGGCAGATGTGGATTTATGGAAGCTGAATTACTGCTTTATACTCCACCAGGACATTTGTGATTCTTTCCCTTATAATCATGGCTACTCAGAAATCCTCCTTATTAAAAAAAGGTCTATTCACAAGCAGCAAACCCTTGAGTTCAGATAACAGCCAGCCTTGCATTCTAATCCCCTAGTTTCACATGCTCCTTGCTTTCACAGAGATTCTCCTTTCAAGCTGAGAATGAGCATGCAGGGTCTCAGTCCAAAGGTGAATTGCTGGAGCAGATTCTCTCCTGCTTTTCAATTTTCAGGGAATCTAGATTATTCAAATACTGTGCAGCCTGACTTGTTTAGTCAGCCATATCCTCTTCTCTGCTACCAGCACGGAGGGAAGGAAACGCTCTGTCACCCTAGGCAAACTGGACTGCAGAGAGGACAGAGGGTTCTGGGAAGGGGAAAGCAAACTCTGTGGGATGCTTCCTACTGCTTCATAGTTACTAACAGCCCCCATGTGCTAGCTTGACCCTTGCTCAGCTGGACGGTTAAAAGGGAGCATGGCCTGCCCAGGTAGTGGGCTGGAACCAGGAAACAGCCATTCTGTACAATATGCTCCCCCAGCTGGTAAATTTGGCCTTGATTCAGCAAAGTACTTAAGCGGGGGGGAATTGTCCCCATCTTCATTTGAATCCTGGGTTCAGTCGCTCCTCCCTTTAGGCTGGGGGAGGAGCATTCAGATACAAGCAGGCTTGTGCCCACCTGCCTCCTGGACTTCAATAGGTGCTTAAGCATGTGCTTAAATCCCACTGACTTCAAAGGGATTTAAGCACATATTGAAGTGTTTTGCTGAATTAGGACATTTTTATTATTATTTTGTTAGCATAAAATATATATTCATTTCATTTCAAAATTCCTATATTAATTTAGTACATTAAATAGCATATATTAAATATTTTCTTCTTATAGCAGCCTGTTCGTCCTTCAGTCTCAAAGCACTGTACAAAGGTGGAGAAGTATCATTAGTTCCATATTACAGACAGGGAAACCAAGGTATAGAGAAGTGAAATGATTTGGGGGAGGGATAGCTCAGTGGTTTGAGCATTGGCTTGCTAAACCTAGGGTTGTGAGTTCAATCCTGGGGCAATAAATCAGTACTGGGTCCTGCTAGTGAAGGCAGGGTGCTGGACTTAATGATTTTTCAGGGTCCCTTCCAGTTCTATGAGATAGGTACATCTCCATATATTTATTTATACGCATATCAGTGGCAGAGTCAGGAATAGAAGCCAGGTCTCTTGACTCCCAGTCCTGCATGTTATTGGCTTGATACATATACAAACCTTTTCTTCCTCCCTTGTGACTTGGATCTGATCTTCGTGACTCAGATTTGCCTCCGTATGTATCATCTATGTGTTCACTACAATTATTATAACTATGTCATGTTTTTCCCCCACAGCATCCAGAGCAGACTGGAACTGAGGAAGAGCTTGAAATGCCAGACCTTCAAGTGGTACCTGGAAAATGTTTATCCAGAACTTAGGTATTGGCCAGTTGTTATATTCTTCTTCATAAAGATTCATCGCCAGCTGATTGGTATGTGACCGATACGTCACGGATCTCCATTTTCACCAGTGCTTTCAGGTTCTGTGGGAGAGGGGAGAACTCAGAAATCATCATTGAGAACCTTTTTTCAGGAAGTTGTTCTCTGCCTGTAGGCAACAGCAGATGTCTGAGGGCTGCTGAGCCAGAGCTCATCTCACTCTGTGTCTCAGGTTTTCTGCTAAAGTGTGTTTTCTTAGCTACTTTCAACTGGCTCCCCCACGGGCACCAGAAGTGCCCCAGAAGCCATTGCTACCATCAGTAGTCAGTGGCTACCATCAGCCATCTTGGGAAATGGTGCAAAGGATTCTGGAGATGCATACAGGGACCCGCTAGGAGTGATTGAATGTGGAGTCAGAGAGGGAAAAAGACTGAGAGTTAGGCTTGATCTATACTAAAAAGTTCAGTCGATCCAGCTACGTTGCTCAAGGATGTGAAAACGCTACGTCCCGGAGTGACGTAGATAAACCGACCTAATCCCTGGTGTAGAACGCACTAGGTTGATGGAAGAATTCTTCTGTTGACCTAGCTACCACCTCTCGGGGAGGTGGATTACCTAAGCCAATGAGAGAACCCCTCCCATCAGCCTAGGTAATGTCTACACTGAAGTGCTAAAGCGGTGCAGCTGTGCTGCTGTAGCATATCACGTGTAGATGAGCTCTTACTGTATAGAGCTATCTTCATACAAAGAGGCACTGCACTGAGAGAGAGACTGGTGGGCAGCTGAATTTGAGGTTCTCTCACACTTGTGAGTCAAAGACAGACCTTTAACAGGCACCCAATTTATTTCTGTCTGCTGTATTTGCCGTATGCCATGCTCTTAGTCTATCTCCTGTAGTGATGCCACATAGGAATGCTCAGTCCAATATGAGATACCTGTTCTGCAATGGAAATATCCGTCCTCTGTAATACGCATAGCGACTCATCGCTGTGATGGGCCTTGCAGTTCTTCGTTTCAGAAACGAATCCATCCAACTAGGTGAACAGCCTCACCTTTCTCTGAATGCCAGGCATGTCTACAGCAGGTACTGTAACATCATCTTGGGTTATTTCCCCAGGATTCCTAAGGAATCACTGTATCAGTCTGGAATGATCCGGCAGAGACAGAGGTGTCTGGAGTCCCAGAAGTCTGAAGATCAGGAGTTCCCCGTCCTCAGCTTAAATCCCTGCATCAGCAGCAAAGGTGTGGCAGCAGTGGCACAGGTAACTGTTTTAGGCCTGCCCCTCTAATAGAGATGAAAGGAAACCTGAGCTACACATCGGAGTTCACCTGGGATCTTAAAGCTGATCCGTCAGGGGCCCTGAGCCTCCAGTTTATGGGGGCAGCTTTGCCCGCATAGTCGGCCGCTGGAAGATTGCCCCCTGCAGGGCAATCTCTGAGTGGCACTGAGCTGCTGCCACTTCCCTTCCCAGTGGTTGGGAAAAGGGGGTGGAGGTGTGGCGAGGGACTCCTGATCATCCCCAGTTGCCAATCAATCAAAATCACTTGGGGCCATTGGCAGCCCCTGTCAATTGCCGCAGCCACCAGGCGACTAGCCCTGCAACCAGACAGCCCCAGAGTTAAGTGAATGCAAAGATGACCTAAGACCACCTTTGCCCTAACCCGCCTTTCCTGAGCTGCACTGAGCACTCTTCATTGGCAGCTCAGCTCACCCAGACATCTCTGCTTTTCACATGCAATTCAAATGAAGAGATCAGAGGAAGAAAATGAGAACTATAATTTCCCCTCATCTTTCCGACCTATTTACTCCTCTTTCAATTTCAAAATGTACTGAATTGCGATGGTATTTATAACTTCATAGTCTGCATTCATTCAATATTAAATTGCCCATTAAACTAGCAAGAGCTTAATGAGCGTGACCTCATTTATTTTTCAAATTCTCACTGAGAGAAGAAATATGCAACATCAGTCAGCATGTGTTCTCTGCTCCAGATTCTCTGATACATTAGAACAGGAAGGGTGATCTTCTGCTGAGGTCTTTGGACTCAGAAGATCTGGGTTTAAATCCCGTCTGTGCCACTGTCTTCCTGTGTGACCTTGGGCAAGTCATTTAATCTCTTCGAGGCTCAGTTCCCCCTCTGTTAAACAGGGATAATACACTTCCCTACTCCTCAGAGGTGCTATGAAAACAAGTTCATTAAGGTCTATGAGGTGCTCAGATACTCCAGTGATGCGGGGGGAGGGATAGCTCAGTGGTTTGAGCATTGGCCTGCTAAACCCAGGGTTGAGAGTTCAATCCTTGAGGGGGCCATTTAGGGATCTGGGGCAAAAATCTGCCTGGGGATTGGTCCTGCTGTGAGCAGGGGGTTGGACTAGATGACCTCCTGAGGTCCCTTCCAACCCTGATATTCTATGGGAGCTGTACAAATAGATAGTATGCACCTGTACACTTACTTTGTGCACACAAATGCAATAATTGCAGCTCTGTCTACACTGTGAGCTAGGGGTGTGTCATGGGGAGTATATACCCCCTGCGGCCAAGGGGTTAAGTACTGCTGGCCCAGGCTGATTGGCTGCCTCACAGCAGCTGTGAGAATAAAAGAGCTGGGAGGCATTGGGGCAGGGCTGCTGCCAGAGGAGCAAGCAGACTGGAGAAGGAAACTCCTGCCAGCAAGCTGCTGAGGAGCCTTGCAGAATCCACATCCTGAGAGAGGACAACTGGACCAACAGGCTGAAAAGCCTATGGGAAGGAAGGAAGGAGCTCAGGGTGCAGCAGGAAGAGTTGTAGAGGCCCAATTCTTCCTGTTTGGCTTAAGGGTGCTGAGCTGCAACCTCATGGAGTGGGCAGTCCTGGGTTCCCCTACTAACCCCTGAGAGACTTAAGAACTGAGGGAGAATCCAGACCCCCTGGATACCAGGACCAGCTGACCCCACCAAGGATGAAGGGAAAACCACATATCCCAGCCAGACTGAGTGGACTCTGGTGCAACACTCTACATGGCCAAAGGAGGTGCTGTTGCATCAACGCACCAGCCTGCACGGTGGGATTCCCTTGCTTGTGTACACATACTCATGCTAACTCTCATCAGGCAAGCATAAGTAGAAGTGTAACTACAGTAGCACAGTAGCAGCAGTGCGAGGCACAGTTAACCTGCCAGTACCCATGCTACCATGGCTACACTGTGATTTATGGTAGCTGGTGCGAGTATGTGTACATGAGCAGGGGAATCACACCTCTAGCTTGTAGTGTAGACATAGCCTAAGTGTGTGGGGGTTACACATGCACAGTGGGTAATTAGTCACATAAGTGACCAACAGTGGCTATATTGCTGCAGAATTACCTAATTTGCATGTGCAAACGAGGCCTGCCATTGTATATGCATTTTACCTACCATTCTACATCTCTAATACATGCAAAAAGCCTACTTTTCTGTACTGTTAAATAGACAATGGCAAGTTGGATTCCAGGTGTTACCCCAGAATTTCTGTGACAATTTTTATAGTATAACAGTCACATTATCCTGGTTTTAAAAATATTTTTCTTTTGACTGCTGCTGTGTAGAAGTTCCACACAAACAGCAGGGAAAGGCTTAACTAGAGCTGGCTGAAACATGTTGCATAAAAAATTCTCTCAGAAAATGCGGTCTAGTCAAACCTGGAATTTTCAATGCATTTTGATGCCATTTTCAAATTTTTCCAATTGGGAAAATCAGAATGAAAAATGTTGCTTTAAGCCAACATTTCAAAATGAAACACCATTTGCAATGTCATGATATTTTGAATGAAAAATGACGATCTCATCATATCAAATTAACATTTTTGATCAAAAGGAAACAACATTTTTGTTTTAACATTTCCGATTAGATTCATAGATTCATAGATTCTAGGACTGGAAGGGACCTCGAGAGGTCATCGAGTCCAGTCCCCTGCCCTCATGGCAGGACCAAATACTGTCTAGACCATCCCTGATAGACATTTATCTAACCTACTCTTAAATATCTCCAGAGATGGAGATTCCACAACCTCCCTAGGCAATTTATTCCAGTGTTTAACCACCCTGACAGTTAGGAACTTTTTCCTAATGTCCAACCTAGACCTCCCTTGCTGCAGTTTAAGCCCATTGCTTCTTGTTCTATCCTCAGAGGCTAAGGTGAACAAGTTTTCTCCCTCCTCCTTATGACACCCTTTTAGATACCTGAAAACTGCTATCATGTCCCCTCTCAGTCTTCTCTTTTCCAAACTAAACAAACCCAATTCTTTCAGCCTTCCTTCATAGGTCATGTTCTCAAGACCTTTAATCATTCTTGTTGCTCTTCTCTGGACCCTTTCCAATTTCTCCACATCTTTCTTGAAATGCGGTGCCCAGAACTGGACACAATACTCCAGCTGAGGCCTAACCAGAGCAGAGTAAAGCGGAAGAATGACTTCTCGTGTCTTGCTCACAACACACCTGTTAATACATCCCAGAATCACGTTTGCTTTTTTTGCAATAGCATCACACTGTTGACTCATATTTAGCTTGTGGTCCACTATAACCCCTAGATCCCTTCCTGCCGTACTCCTTCCTAGACAGTCTCTTCCCATTCTGTATGTGTGAAACTGATTTTTTCTTCCTAAGTGGAGCACTTTGCATTTGTCTTTGTTAAACTTCATCCTGTTTAACTCAGACCATTTCTCCAATTTGTCCAGATCATTTTGAATTATGACCCTGTCCTCCAAAGCAGTTGCAATCCCTCCCAGTTTGGTATCATCCGCAAACTTAATAATCGTACTTTCTGTACCAATATCTAAGTCGTTAATGAAGATATTGAACAGAGCCGGTCCCAAAACAGACCCCTGCGGAACCCCACTCGTTATGCCTTTCCAGCAGGATTGGGAACCATTAATAACAACTCTCTGAGTACGGTTATCCAGCCAGTTATGCACTCACCTTATAGTAGCCCCATCTAAATTGTATTTGCCTAGTTTGTCGATAAGAATATCATGCAAGACCGTATCAAATGCCTTACTAAAGTCTAGGTATACCACATCCACCGCTTCTCCCTTATCCACAAGACTCGTTATCCTATCGAAGAAAGCTATCAGATTGGTTTGACATGATTTGTTCTTTACAAATCCATGCTGGCTGTTCCCTATCACCTTACCACCTTCCAAGTGTTTGCAGATGATTTCCTTAATTACTTGCTCCATTATCTTCCCTGGCACAGAAGTTAAACTAACTGGTCTGTAGTTTCCTGGGTTGTTTTTATTTCCCTTTTTATAGATGGGCACTATATTTGCCCTTTTCCGGTCTTCTGGAATCTCTCCCGTCTCCCATGATTTTCCAAAGATAATAGCTAGAGGCTCAGATACCTCCTCTATTAGCTCCTTGAGTATTCTAGGATGCATTTCATCAGGCCCTGGTGACTTGCAGGCATCTAACTTTTCTAAGTGATTTTTAACTTGTTCTTTTTTTATTTTATCTGCTAAACCTACCCCCTTCCCATTAGCATTCACTAGGTTAGGCATTCCTTTAGACTTCTCGGTGAAGACCGAAACAAAGAAGTCATTAAGCATCTCTGCCATTTCCAAGTTTCCTGTTACTGTTTCTCCCTCTTCACTAAGCAGTGGGCCTACCCTGTCTTTGGTCTTCCTCTTGCTTCTAATGTATTGATAAAAAGTCTTCTTGTTCCCCTTTATTCCCTTAGCTAGTTTGAGCTCATTTTGTGCCTTTGCCTTTCTAATCTTGCCCCTGCATTCCTGTGTTGTTTGCCTATATTCATCCTTTGTAATCTGTCCTAGTTTCCATTTTTTATATGACTCCTTTTTATTTTTTAGATCATGCAAGATCTCATGGTTAAGCCAAGGTGGTCTTTTGCCACATTTTCTATCTTTCCTAACCAGCGGAATAGCTTGCTTTTGGGCCCTTAATAGTGTCCCTTTGAAAAACTGCCAACTCTCCTCAGTTGTTTTTCCCCTCAGTCTTGATTCCCATGGGACCTTACCTATCAGCTCTCTGAGCTTACCAAAATCCGCCTTCCTGAAATCCATTGTCTCTATTTTGCTGTTCTCCCTTCTACCCTTCCTTAGAATTGCAAACTCTATGATTTCATGATCACTTTCACCCAAGCTGCCTTCTACTTTCAAATTCTCAACGAGTTCCTCCCTATTTGTTAAAATCAAGTCTAGAACAGCTTCACCCCTAGTAGCTTTTTCAACCTTCTGAAATAAAAAGTTGTCTGCAATGCAGTCCAAGAATTTGTTGGATAGTCTGTGCCCCGCT